ATTAATATTATTATAATATATGTGCATTAATGTGGAACTTTTTATTTAAATGCCTGCCATTTGTTTAAAAAAAACATTTAGTTCTACATTAAAACACATTTTTATATTTATTTAATTTTTTATAATAATCACAACAATAATAATAATAAATCTCCTCAAAAACTTCTGCTAGTAATACTACTACTACTACAATTGAATCAATAAAAAATAATAAATAATAAATAATAATATCTTTATGACTACTACTACTTCTACTACTACTACTACTGCTACTTGCTACTTAATAAAACCAATAATAATAATAATAATAATAATCTCCTTCAACTACTGCTACCACTACTACTACAATTGAATCAATAATAATAATAATAATAATAATAATATCTTTATGACTAACTAAACTTCTACTACTTCTGCTACTTAATAATAACAACAATATAAAATAATCTCCAACTACTGCTGCAACTACTACTACAATCAAATCAATAAAAATAAAAATATATATAAAATAATAATAATATCTTTTACTACTACTACTATACTAAATAATATAATAATGCAACTTTGCTTTAAAATGGAACTATTTTTTTTTTGCCTGGATTTAGGTCTTTATGGCACCAACCAAATAACAGTATACCAGCCACCAATGGAGCTTTAAAAGTAAGAAAAATAAAAGAAATGTTAATTAATATTGTAGATAATAATAAATCTCTTTAGGACTACTACTTCTGCTTCTTCTTTCTTTAATAATAAAAATAATAATAATTGTGCATTAATGTGGAACTTTTTATTTAAATGCCTGCCATTTGTTGAAAGAAACATTTAGTTCTACATTAAAACACATTTTTATATTATATAAAATTTAAAAATAAAATAAAAACAAAAATAATAAAATAATAAAATAATCTCCTTCAACTTCTGCTAGTAAAATACTACTACTACAATTGAATCAATAATAAATAAAATAATAATAATAATAATAAAATGACTACTACTACTTAAAATAATAATAAAACAACTTTGCTTTAAAATGGAACTATTTTTTTTTGCCTGGATTTAGGTCTAAAAATGGCAAAAAAAAAAAAAACATTATACCAAAAAACAATGGAGCTTTAATAAAGTAAGAAAAAAAAAGAATTTTTTTTAATATTAATAAAAAATAATAATAATAATAAAATAAAAAAAAAAAATGACTAAAAAAAAAAAAAAAAAAAAAATAATTATTATTAATAATAAATTAAAATAAATGTGCATTAATGTAAAAAAATAATTTAAATGCCTGCCATTTGTTTAAAGAAAAAAAAAAAAAAAAAAATAATTAAAACACATTTTTATATTTATTTAAATTTTTATAATAATCACAAAAAAATAATAATAATAATCTCCTTCAACTTCTGCTAGTAATACTACTACTACAATTAAATCAATAAAAAAAATAATAAAAATAATATCTTTATAACTACTACTACTTCTACTACTACTACTTCTGCTACTTAATAATAAAAAAAATAATAATAATAAAAAATAATAATAATAATATCTTTAAAAAATAAATACTAACTTAAAAAATAATAATACAACTTTGCTTTAAAAGTGGAACAAATTTTTTTTTGCCTGGGTTTAGGTTTTTATGGCACCAACCAAATAACAGTATACCAGCCACCAATGGGAGCTTTAAAAGTAAGAAAGGGGGTTAAAAGACATTTTTTTTTTATTAATAGTGTCGATAATAAAAATAATAATAATAATAATAATCTCTTTATGACTACTACTTCTGCTTCTTCTTCTTATTATTAATATTATTATAATAAATGTGCATTAATGTAAAAAAAAATTTAAAAAAAATGCCTGCCATTTGTTTAAAGAAACATTTAGTTCTACATTAAAAAACACATTTTTATAAATAAAAAAAAAAAAAATAATAAAATCACAACAATAATAATAATAATAATCTCCTTCAACTTCTGCTAGTAATACTACTACTACTACAATTGAATCAATAATAATAATAATAATAAATAATATCTTTATGACTACTACTACTTAATAATAATAATACAACTTTGCTTTAAAATGGAACTATTTTTTTTTGCCTGGATTTAGGTCTTTATGGCACCAACCAAATAACAGTATACCAGCCAACAATGGAGCTTTAATAGTAAGAAAGGGGGTTAAAAGAATTTTTTTTTATTAATAGTGTCAATAATAATAATAATAATATAATCTCTTTATGACTACTACTTCTGCTTCTTCTTCTTATTATTATTATTAATATTATTATAATAAATGTGCATTAATGTGGAACTTTTTATTTAAATGCCTGCCATTTGTTTAAAGAAACATTTAGTTCTACATTAAAACACATTTTTATATTTATTTAAATTTTTATAAAAATCAAAAAAACAATAATAATAATAATCTCCTTCAACTTCTGCTAGTAAATACTACTACTAAAAATTGAATCAATATCAATAATAATAATAATAATAATAATATCTTTATGACTACTACTAACTTCTACTAATTAATAATAACAACAATAATAATAATAATAAATAATAATAATAATATCTTTATGATGACTACTACTTAATAACAATAATAATACAACTTTGCTTTAAAGTGGAACAAATTTTTTTTTGCCTGGGTTTAGGTTTTTATGGCACCAACCAAATAACAGTATACCAGCCACCAATGGGAGCTTTAAAAGTAAGAAAGGGGGTTAAAAGACATTTTTTTTTTTTATTAATAGTGTCGATAATAATAATAATAATAATAATAATAATAATAATAATAATCTCTTTATGACTACTACTTCTGCTTCTTCTTCTTCTTATAATAATATTATTATAATAAATGTGCATTAATGTGGACTTTTTTTTATTTAAATGCCTGCCATTTGTTTAAAGAAACATTTAGTTCTACATTAAAACACATTTTTATATTTATTTAATTTTTTATAATAATAACAACAATAATAATAATAATCTCCTTCAACTTCTGCTAGTAATACTACTACTACTACAATTGAATCAAATAATAATAATAATAATAATAAATATCTTTATGACTACTACTACTTCTACTACTTAATAATAACAACAATAATAATAACAACAATAATAATAATAATAATAATAATAATAATCTCCTTCAACTACTGCTACCACTACTACTACAATCAAATCAATATCAAATATTATAATAATAATAATATCTTTATGACTACTACTGCTTAATATAATAATAATAATAATAATAATAATAATGCAACTTTGTGGAACTCATTTTTTTTTCTCCTGGATTTAGGTTTTTATGGCACCAACCAAATACCAGTATACCAGCCCACTAATGGGAGCTTTAAAAGTAGAAAACGGGTTAAAAGACATTTTTTGTTGTTATAGTGTTAATAATAATAATTTAAATATTATTTATTATTATTATTATTATTATGTTCATTATATTAACTTTATAAATAATAAAATCATTTATTGAATATCTGTCCCCCTCCTTGGAAGCGTTGGAGCGTTCATACAGCGCCGGGCTCCTGGTCTCTCAGTTTTGATTTATTATTTGGAAGCCGGCTCGCCTAGATGGGGCAGATTTAAGAGTTTAATATTGGTTCTCTTCCACCACCTCTGAAATTTTAATTAGCGGCTCTAAGTCTGTGTCAGGCGGAAGTGAGAGGGCGATGTTTAATAAAGCTGCTCACCCTGGGAAATTAAGATGGGCCCAATATGGAGAGAGGTATGAATAGGCGTAGATCTTAATTAAACATGAGCGTAATTATTGGTGCTGAGAACTGTCCGCGACTCATCAGGACCGTTTTTCTATATCAACAGGCTAATTATAACGCAGATAATATTTTTTAATGGCGGGAATCTGTATTCCGGACAGCTTGGAACTGTTCTGAGCGATCCGTCCCGGCGGCCCGGCAAGTACTGGCTGGAGATGGTTTATAGTCCGGGATGGCAGAACTGCTAGCAGCGGGCGGAATGCTGGCCGTGTATTAAAAGCTGAACTCCAGATAAACCATTAAATACATAGAGGGGAGCCGCTTCAACTCCCGAAGGATTCGTATTTCTGTCCATGCAGTCCTGAGATTTACACAGCTCTGTTTCACAGCACAGTCTGGCAGGGGAGGCGGCCTGATATAGTTGTGCAGCAACACTTACAGGTGTCCCCCCCCCCCACTCTGTGACTGGACAGTGAACAGAGAAGCTGCAGTAGACGGATGACCTCAGCTCTCTGCTCTCTCCTCCTATCAGCGTGCTCTTTGTCAGCACTTCTTTACAACTGATTGGATCCTTGTCAGTACTGCTGCACAATTGATTGGTTCTGTGTACTGTGCCTCCCTCTCCTAGTTTAAACTCTGCTGTACAGGGACTGCAAAAGACGGATTTTAGATCAAATCCAGCTGCTTGTATTTTAATTCAATTTAAAAAATTTAGGATAAATGTAATAAAATTAAAAAAATAAAAATGCAGAAAAATGAAAGCTGAAGTTTAATCTGCGTCATGCAAGCCTCACTGGGTTCAGGCTTTATCCCTTCATCAACATGCTACTGGAAATGTTTTCTAGTACATTCTTTTTTTTCCACTGGGTCTCTGTGCTTCTCTATGTAATGCAAGCAGTTGGTTGGGTTGGCTGCAGCTCCTCCCACCATTGCTGGAGGGAGGGGCTGCAGGTTGCTGCACATAGATTGCTAAAAGATATGGCAACACCCCGCCTCAGTACTCCTCCGTGATGCATGCAGTGGGCTGGCTGTTAGGAGGAGTTATGCAAATCTCAGAATGTCTTGATGGGTGGGTGTCAGTCCTTAGGGGTGGGCATTCCATGGTCGGGGTATTTGTATGCAGACCTCCCTAGGTAACACCAACATGTGATGCCAAACTGAATTCCAATAAATGAAAGGGGCGGGGCAAGGGACCGTCAGGCTGGGGAGGAAAGACTAGATGATGCTGGATGTCCTCCAGCCAGGAAATGAGGCGGAGCTCTATCTGACTGGCTGCAGCTTCTAATGCGCATTGTGAGAAGCTCATGGTGTGCGGTGACATCAGAGGAAGCCGTTTTAGTCCAGGGGAGGAGCCAGTACACCTGTGCAAGCATGAAGGGGAGGAGGCGGTACATCTGTACAAGACTGAAGGGAAGGAGCCGGTACACCTGCGCAAGCCTGAAGGGGAGGAGACAGTACACCTGTGCAAGCCTGAAGGGGAGGAGCCGGTACACCCGTACAAGACTGAAGGGGAGGAGCCGGTACACCTGTACAAGACTGAAGGGGAGGAGCCGGTACACCTGTGCAAGACTGAAGGGGAGGAGCCAGTACACCTGTGCAAGACTGGAGGGGAAGAGCCGGTACACCTGTGCAAGACTGAAGGGGAGGAACCGGTACACCTGTGCAAGACAGAAGGGGGAGGAGTCGGTACACCTGTGCAAGACTGGAGGATAGGAGCCTGTACACCTGTGCACGACTGAAGGGGAGGAGCCGGTACACCTGTGCAAGCCTGAAGGGGAGGAGCCGCTACACCTGTGCAAGACTGAAGGGGAGGAGCCGGAACACCTGTGCAAGACTGAAGGGGAGGAGCTGGTACACCTGTGCCAAACTGAAGGGGAGGAGCCGGTAAACCTGTGCCAGACTGAAGGGGAGGAGCCATTACACCTGTGCAAGACTGAAGGGGAGGAGCCGGTACATCTGTGCAAGACTGAAGGGGAGGAGCCGGTACACCTGTGCCAGACTGAAGGGGAGGAGCCGGTACACCTGTGCCAGACTGAAGGGGAGGAGCTGGTACACCTGTGCCAGACTGAAGGGGAGGAGCCGGTACACCTGTGCAAGATTGAAGGGGAGGAGCCGGTACACCTATGCCAGACTGAAGGGGAGGAGCCAGTACACCTGTGAAAGACTGAAGGGGAGGAGCCGGTACACCTGTGCAAGACTGAAGGGGAGGAGCCTGTACACCTGTGCGAGACTGAAGGGGAGGAGACAATACACCTGTGCCAGACTGAAGGGGAGGAGACAATACACCTGTGCCAGACTAAAGGGGAGGAGACAATACACCTGTGCCAGACTGAAGGGAGGTTGTAGGGAGTTCAGCCTAGGAATGTATTAATAATGAGAAGATCTGCATTATTCTGCGTCTTTTATATCTGCCTGGAGTTCATCTTTGATGGATGTGGGGGCCTCTCAGCCTGGATTCACATCCACTGAACTCTGAAAATAGATTTTTTTTTGTTTGGTTAAGTATATTAAACATGTTGAAAACATGCAGAGAAGTGACTGACGGGTGACACCTTGAAGGGACCGTGTCCTTTTTAAGTGGAAAGGATTGTTGTCGTGACAACTGCGTAGTTTTCAAAGTCATCGTCTATCAGTCAGGATCCATCACGCTGAGCGGTGGAGTGCATCTGTACATGATATAAATGGATCTGTGGCATGCCACCCACCAGGAGATATAGGAACGTCCTCCCTCCATAATGCATCCCGTCTATTCTGTCTATTCTAAAATGGCAACACGCTTCTCCGTGTAAATCAATGACAATGTCAGGCAGAGGAGTGTCTATGTGAATCATTGATGGTCTACATGGAAAGCCCAGGGAGCAGGAACACTGAAAGGATTTCAGCACCTTGGACAACACTGGTGGAATTTCAGCATCTTGGACATCACCGGAGGAATTTCAGCATCTTGGACATCACCGGAGGAATTTCAGCATCTTGGACATCACCGGTGGAATTTCTGCGCTGGTGGAATTTCAGCATCTTTGGACAGCATCCATCACCGATGGAATTTCAGCATCTTGGACATCACCGATGGAATTTCAGCATCTTGGACATCACCGATGGAATTTCAGCATCTTGGACATCACCGATGGAATTTCAGCATCTTGGACATCATCGATGGAATTTCAGCATCTTGGACAGCACCTATGAAATTTCCGCACTGGTGGAATTTCAGCACCTTGGACAACACCGGTGGAATTTCAGCCCCTTGGACAGCACCGCTGGGATTTCAGCATCTTGGACAGCATCGGTGAAATTTTCACTCTGGTGGAATTTCAGCACCTTGGACAGCACTGGTGGAATTTCAACATCGGTGGAATTTCAGCATCTTGGGCAACATGGATGGAATTTCCGCGTTGGTGGAATTTCAGCACCTTGGACAGCACTGGTGGATTTCTGCGCTGCTGGAATTTCAGCACTTTGGACAGCACTAGTGGAATTTCAGCACCTTGGACAGCACTGGTGGAGTCTCCCTATAGCCCTGGCCAAACGTTTTGAAAATTACACAAATATTACTTTCCCAGCAAGGAAACCGGTGCAGTCATCATTGCTTTGCACAAAAAAGGGTTCACAGGCAAGGATATTGCTGCTACTAAGATTGCACCTAAATCAACCATTTATCAGATCATCTAGAACTTCAAGGAGAGAGGTTCCACTGTTATGAAGGCTTCAAGGTGCCCAAGGAAGTTCAGCACGCACCAGAACCATCTCCTAAAGTTGATTCAGTTGTGGGATTGGGGCACCATAAGTGCAGAGCTTGCTCAGGAATGGCAGCAGGCAGGTGTGATGCATCGGCATGCACAGTGAGGTGAAGACTGTTGGAGGATGGCCTGGTGTCAAGAAGGACAGCAAATAAGCCGGACTGAGGTAGAGAAACTTTGAGATGGCACATGTAGTGTGCAACATAGGAACACTATAGCAGAAGGTGAATGGGGAATGGAGATAGAGGACCAAGCAGCAAGGGATCAGCAGAGCTGGGGGACTGGAGCAGGAGAAACTAGCACATGTCACATGGTGTACAGCATGGGAGCAATATAGCGGGAGGTGAGTGGGGACTGGAGAGAGGAGAAGATCATCAAACCAGAGGATCAGCAGAGCTGGGGGACTAGATCAGTAGAAACTAGCAGATGTTACATTGTGTGCAGCATGGAAGCAATGTAGCGGGAGGTGAGTGAGGACTGGAGAGAGGAGAAGATTATCAAACCAGAGGATCAGCAGAGCTGGGGGACTAGATCAGGAGAAACTAGCAGATGTTACATTGTGTGCAGCATGGAAGCAATGTAGTGGGAGGTGAGTGAGGACTGGAGAGAGGAGAAGATTATCAAACCAGAGGATCAGCAGAGCTGGGGGACTAGATCAGGAGAAACTAGCAGATGTTATGTGGTGTGCAGCGTGGAAGCAATGTAGCGGGAGGTGAGTGAGGACTGGAGAGAGGAGAAGATCATCAAACCAGAGGATCAGCAGAACTGGGGTACTGGAGCAGGAGAAATTAGCAGATGTCACGTGTGGTGTGCAGCATTATAGCAATGTAGCGGGAGGTGACTGCGGACTGGAGAGAGGAGAAGATCAGCAAACCAGAGGATCAGCAGAGCTGGGGGACTGGAGCAGGAGAAACTAGCAGGTGTTACAAGGTGTGCAGCATGGAAGCAATGTAGCGGGAGGTGAGTGAGGACTGGATAGAGGAGAATATCATCAAACCAGAGGATCAGCAGAGCTGAGGGACTGGGGCAGGAGAAACTAGCAGATGTCACGTGTGGTGTGCAGCATGGAAGCAATGTAGCGGAAGGTGAGTGGGGACCAGAGGGAGGGGAATATCAGACCAGAGGATCAGCAGAGTTGGGGGACTGGAGCAGGAGAAACTAGCAGAGATAAAGTGGTGTGCAGTATGGGAGCAATGTGGTGGGAGGTGAGTGGGGACTGGAGAGAGGAAGAGAGGAAAAGATCATCAAACCAGAGGATCTGCAGAGCTGGGGAACTGGAGCAGGAGAAACTAACAGATGGCACGTGTGGTGTGCAGCATGGGAGCAATGTGGCGGGAGGTGAGTGGGGACTGGAGAGAGGAAAATATAATCAAACCAGAGGATCAGCAGAGCTAGGGGTTGATACTGAGAGGGGGAACAGCAGAGCTGGGGATACTGCTGAGAGGGGGATCAAAAGAGCTGGACGTACTACTGGGCAAGGGATCAGCAAAGCTGGGGGTACTACTGAGTGGAGGATCAGCAAAGCTGGGGGTACTATTGAGTGGGGCATCAGCAGAACTGGGTGTTACTCCTGAGCAGTGGATCAGCAAAGCTGGGGGTACTACTGAGTGGAGGATCAGCAAAGCTGGGGGTACTATTGAGTGTGGCATCAGCAGAACTGGGTGTTACTCCTGAGCAGTGGATCAGCAAAGCTGGGGGTACTACTGAGTGGAGGATCAGCAAAGCTGGGGGTACTATTGAGTGTGGCATCAGCAGAACTGGGTGTTACTCCTGAGCAGTGGATCAGCAAAGCTGGGGGTACTACTGAGAGGAGGATCAGCAAAGCTGGGGGTACTATTGAGTGTGGCATCAGAAGAACTGGGTGTTACTCCTGAGCAGTGGATCAGCAAAGCTGGGGGTACTACTGAGTGGAGGATCAGCAAAGCTGGGGGTACTACTGAGCAGGAGATCAGCACAGCTCTACTATATAGTAATATACATACCTTTTCCCAAAAGTCTCCTGGCCTGTCTGCTGATATCACAAGCCCTTATTTTACTTCTCCAGTGGCGGTGGGTGGAACTGAATGGCACTTACATAATGACACAGGAGAGCCAATCGGTGCAGTGGTCCTCTGAGCCCAAGCTGGGGTGCTTGTGCATGCTCAGGGTGGGTGTTCACGACAGCTTGGGCTCAGAGGAAGTAGGTTGATTGAATCTTCAACTGGTGACATCTAGTGTTGGAACAGAATACTGCAGGCAACAGAAGGGTGGAACCCAAATAATCTGCCAATGTGAGGAAACCAAAGCCCCCACCGACACAAATGTGGGAGGGAACTGAACCCAGAACTCAAGTGCTGCAAGGTTGTTATGTTCATCACAAGCTGCCTCTAAAATGTTAATGCCACCCCCAAATATTGATGCAAATTTGAAGTTTCCTTTCAGAAGACCGGAGACGTTTGGCATGGCTGTGGTTTCTTTGCAGGTTCCATGCAATCAGCCATCACACCTTCCCTACTCCGCATGGCTACAGAGCGATCATTATTCTGTGTTTCCCGGGCGCCCGGCATTAACCATGGCGGCTGAAATGCCGCATAACTACAGATCAGTCCTTATCACCGCGGGCAGCCGCAGTGATCCCCATATATCTCCTCCCGGTGTGAAGCTGGCATTTACCGCTGACAAGACATTGTACTGGAGACTAAACAGGGAGGACACAGGGAGCCCGCCGGCCTTTCCTAGAAAATACTGCGGCCAGCTAGATGAATAATCGCGGTCACATGACACAGCAATGCGCTTTGGAGCAACAGAAGAGAAGAACGAAAGGAGCTGGACAAGAGAAGAGGATATGAGGAGACCAACTGCGTGAATTACGCATCATTCTGATGTACACCGATCAGCAATGACATTTTTGATCACGAATAGGTAATGCGAATACCACTGATTATCCGCTTATAATATCTGAAAGTGGGTGGGATATATTGGGCAGCAAGTGAACATGTTGTCACTGAAGTTGATGCGCTGAAAGCAGCAAAATGGACAAATATAAGGATTTGAGTGACTTTGACAAGGACCAAATAGTAATGT